AATATGGATGACAGTTATTTTATTCCTCCTTTTTTTTTTGGTACCGGGCATCAAACTCAGGACCTTGAGCTTGTATTTTATTCCTTCTTGTTTTGTGAGCACATGTTACTTTTGTGATAGTCACATTAAAAATAAGTTTTGCAGGGCCGGGGATTTGGCTCAGTGGTTCCGGTGCCTGGCTCGCCAGCACAAGGTCCTGAGTTCAATCCTTGGTACCAAAAAAAAAAAAAAGAAAAGTTTTGCTGGGAAGTGGTAGCACACGCCTGTAATCCCAGCACTCAGGAAGCAAAGGCAGGAGGATCACAAGTTTGAGGCCAGCCTGGGGTTTGCAGCAAGTTCCAGGCTAACCTGAGCTACATAGTCAGGTTCAAAAAACAGTAATGTCAGAAAACTGTCTCCTTTGAAGAAATGAGTTTCTGACCACAAGTACACTGGTAACTACTATATTTCTTTTTCCTTTTTGTCACGGTTTCCCAGAAACTAATGATTTAATTTTACCTCCAAAAAAAAAAAAATTTACCTCCAATTCTGAATAATATTTTTCTCTTAGGACTGATGTAATTTTCTTTCTTTTCCTTCAGTTCTGTTTTTTGTTTTTGAGATAGAGTCTCACTCTGTAGTCTAGGCTGGCCTGAGACTCTCTTATGTATCCCAGGCTGGCCTCAAACTTGCAATCCTCCTGCCTCAGCCTCCCAAGTGCTACGATTACAGAGATGTACCAGCATACTCAGATCTTTCCTTCCATTCTGTGTTACTTTTCTTTTCCCATCCTGTTAAACATATTTGCTATAAGCTCCCCCAAAAGTTTTCTAGAGGGCAGGGGATGTAGGCTTAGTGGTAAAGCACTTGCCTAGCATACATGAAATTCTGGGTTCAATCCCCAGCACCACCAAAATAAAACAAATAAATAAATAAAAGTTTTCTGGAATCCTGATGGCCATAACTCAGACCTTGAACAGCCTGGGCCAGCCCTTCCACACATGCCTCATGCCCATCCTTTTTGCAGCAGCCATGCCTTAGTCCTCCTGCCCATGAGCCCTGAACCTTGGCTCCTTTGCCATCATACCCTCTCTGGTCAAGCCTTTCCACGTCCTCCACCCGCAGGCCGAAGATGAAGAAGTTCTCCTCTCCCACCTCTTCTGCCATCTCTACATTGGCCCCATCCATGGTGCCAATGGTCAGAGCCCCATTGAGCATGAACTTCATGTTGCCAGTGCCTGAGGCCTCAGTGCCTGCGGTGGAGATCTGCTCAGAGAGGTCAGCAGCTGGGATCACTAGAACATAGCAGCAGGGGTACAAGGTCAACTCAGAGAACAGTCCTGCCTCAGTCAGGTTAGACTGGCCCTGGGCATAGCCAGACGCAGAGTCCTCTCCACCCCAACCCTCTGATCCTCACCAACCAAGTCTTTCTCTTGCCGGCCTCATCCTTCTGCCTCTTGTTTTTTGTTTTTTTGTACCAGGGATCGAACTTGGGACCTTGCGCTTGCAAGTCAGGCAGTGGCACCACTGAGCTAAATCCCTGGCCCAGGGGGCAGGGGGCAGGGGGTGTTGTACCAGGAATCAAACTCAGGGCCTCCTGCTTGCAAGTCAGGTTCTGCACTGCTGAGCTATATACCTGGCTCTCGCTGATTCTTAAACATCTGGGATCTAGCCTGAATCCTGTGTCCAGCTCCCACAAATTTTACCCTGTACTGCCCACAGGGACATCCTTACCCAGGAAGGCTTGCTAGCACCTCTCCTGGGGCCTAGCCCACCAGAGCCTCTGAGGTCCCTGAGACAGCACCCACCCTTTTCAGCCAGCGAGACTCGATAGTTCTCCAGGAAGATCACACGGAGGCGGTCTCCCACCACCGGGTCGTGGTTCACCACATCCCCAATGGCAGTGATGAGTCTGATGATCATCTTGGCCATGTGGTAGCCGGGAGCGGCCTGCAGGGCAGTCCAGGGTCAGCGCTAAGGCCTTAGCCACATACACAACCCTCCTACAGCTCAGCCAGCCTTATTCCAGCTGGATGGTAGCAGCCTAGAGCCCTGGTCTGGGCCCAGCTTCTCACCTTGCCTCCGATCATCACAGTCCGTGGGACAACAAACTTGTTAGGCTCCTTCTTGATGCCTGTGGAAAAGAGAGGGATGGAGTTGGCCAGCTCTTTCCCCTGGCTTGGAGCTCCTAATGGTACCCTGGCAGCTAGGGCCATGCTGGGAGACTGTAGGCCTGAATTTGGGCAATCATTTGCTCTGTGGCTGTCACTTCCCCCTCTCTGAGCCTCAGGTTGCCCATTTATGGAATGGAGATAGTTCTATCCTAAGAGTTGTCACCAGGCCCAAGGAGCTGTGGATCAGGCAGGATGTGGCATTCTGGGAGGTACCAAGAGGGGAAGACTGAGGTGGGTGTTGACCCTGCCACTCACGGTTGTACAGGGTGATGATGTGGAGGCAGTTGAGGAGCTGGCGCTTGTATTCATGAATCCGTTTCACCTGGACATCAAACAGCGAGTTGGGGTTGATGTGGACTTTGTATTCTCTCTCCAGGAATGCAGAGAACTTCAGTTTGTTTTCCTGCAGGGAGGGGAAGGAGAAGACTCACCAACTGCCTTCAGCTTCAAGAAATCCTACAGTCCTAGTTGCTTCCTTCCCACTAGGCCCAGGAAGGTGGATGGCAGGAGGCTCATTGCTGCCTTCACCCAGGCAGACATGGCTGGTCACTGTCAGCACTCTCCCAACCAGAGCAGATTTGTCTTTCACCCCAGCTCCAGGCCTGGGACTGGCAGGAGAGGTGTCTCTATCTGCCACTCCTGACCCAGACATCCGGCCCCTCCCATACTAGCCACACGCCAGCCCTAGCCCACATGTCCCAGGCTGCAGCGCTCCCCACCTGCTTCACTTTGGCCACATCCCTGATAAAGGCTTCATCGTCCACGTAGGAGAGCAGTTTGCGCAGCTGGTCCAGGTCCGAAATGTACTCCTCCCCAATGCGCTGCAGGAAGGTGGCTCTCAGGCAACCCCATTCCCTCCGTTCCCCTTTCCCCAGACACACGGAGGTCCCCTTCCAGGTCAGCTGGACCCTACTATCTACCCGAGTGCTCTGGGGCATTGCATATACCTTCCTCGAGTCCCATCTCAAATCTGGTGGGTGGCCTCACCTAATCCCAGCTGGCCTCCCTGGCTTCTGGCCTTGTCTTCCTGTTGGCAAGACCTCGAGTCTCCTCTACCAGACATCTACCCCCCTGCAGTCTCATTTCAGATGTGACTCACTGATGAACCCTCCCTCATTAGAATATGACTTCCATTGGGCTGCCCTCTGTAGCCAAGACCCCTCTTGGCCCAGAAGACACATGCATGCAAATAAGAAAAGGCAGCACCCCGCTTGGGGAACATGGGACAAGACGGATTTCAGCCCTCAGCAGGAGTCCTTCCTTGTACTGTGAGCTATCTACACAACCATAACCAGGTAGTCCCTGCAGTGACCTGTGGTGCTTTACTGGCTCTCACCTCAGCAATGACCTCTGCCAGCCCAGGGTTACACAAAACCAGCCACCGCCGAGGGGTGATGCCATTGGTCTTATTCTGGAATTTATGAGGCTCCAGCTCGTAGAAGTCCTTGAAGCTAAAAGATGGAGTGGGATGAGGGTCACCACTCACCCCTGCAAGGGCCCCTAGTTCTTCCTGGAAGGGACTTCTAATGGGAGATGCAGACCTCCGGGAGGTACAGGTACTGTAAGAGGAGGTCACCTGGGGACAGGATTGTACTAGAAGGGGCTGTGGTGCCCCTGTGGGTGGTGCCAGCTAGAGGAGGCTGAGTGGTGGGGGGAGGGGCAGGACTGGGGAGGGGTGGGTCTGGAGAAAAGGCTCACATGGTCTTCTTAAGGATCTCAGAGTGGATGCGAGCCACGCCATTGACTGCATGTGAGCCAGCGATGCACAGGTGTGCCATGTTGATACGCTTCACTGCACCCTCCTCCACCAGTGACATGCGCCGAAGACGGTCCACATCCCCAGGGAATGTAGCTGCCACCCGCTGTTCCCCAGAAGAGCCCAAAACTAGCACCAGAGCCCAAACACCTGGGTCCCCAGACCCAAACACCCAAGGCTCTGCTCAGAGCTGTGCCCATGCCTGAGGCCCCAGATCCTGACTGTCCACCCTCCCCCCTGCCTGCTGGTCACACCACCTTCCCAGCTCACATTCAGGAAGCGCTGGTTGATCTCATAGATGATCTGCAGGTGCCGGGGCAGCAGTGTCTCCACGAGGTGCACGGGCCAGCGCTCCAGGGCCTCAGGCAGCACCGTGTGGTTGGTGTAGGCGCAGGTCTTGACGGTTATGTCCCAGGCCTGGCACATAGGGCAGGGAGTAAGATGCCGTACCTGAGCCCTGGGCTGTCCACACTGCAGCACACAGGGTCTGGCACTGCAGAGCCAGGTTCCAGCACTCCCGGCCCGGGCCTCACACTCCTGGTTCACGTCACCCTCCTACTCCCCAAACTGGGAAAAAATCCTGAGGGAGAATGGCTGAGACGTGCGTGCATGCGTGTGTGTGTGTGTGTGTGTGTGTGTGTGTGTGTGTCCCGAAACCCACCTTATCCCAGTCCAGCCGCTCCAGATCCACAAGAATCCTCATCAGCTCAGGGATGGCCAAGGATGGGTGGGTGTCATTGAGCTGGATGGCCACCTGTGTGGGAGAGGCTAGGAGTCAGACTGAACCCCAAACCAAGAGCTATAATGACTGTCTTCTACCCCTTTGGAGGCCCCCAGTGGGCCTGTGGCTGATCTGAGGGCTGAGGAGCTCATGGGGACAGCTGGCGGGCAGTGGACAAAAGAGGAGGGCCCAGGTAGACTGAAGATCCCAGGCAGGTTACCTTGTCCGGGAAGGCATCGAAGTTTGTGCGCACAGGATCACGGCTGCCAAACTTGGAGGATTTAAAGCGCCGGATGATGTCCTGGAGAGTAGCAGCTACTACGAAGTACTCCTGCTTCAGCCGAAGCTCCTTCCCCTCAAAGAACTAGGGACAGTGCAAGGCAGGTGGAGCCCATGTGCCAGAGGCATGGCCTTAGACTGCTGTGTCTGTGGCCAAGACAGACCCCACCTACACTAAGACATACCTCCCTAACTGCACCTCCCCCAAGGCCCAGGGGCCTTTGCTCCACAAAGTAATAGTGGTGGGGAATAGTGTCACAAGTGAGGTCACAAAAGGACCAAGAGTATTGTGGCTGTCTCACAACAGCTCCTCCAAAATGCCCTACCCTAACCTGTCTCCCTAGGACACAAAGGTCCTCCCACTCAAAGGACTTGGGGCAGGGGAATAGGGCACACAGGGCCAGCAATCTGCTCTGTGAGGAGGGCAACAGCAGCTCCCCTGATCTCTCTCCCAAGGGTGACGCACGTTATCATTGGGGTACAGGACACGAGAGATGTTCTCGGCCAGATTTCGGTCCAGCACAGCCTGGATGTAGCCACCAACATTGACTGAGGGACAAAGGGGAACAGGTCAAGCTGGGGCTAAGCGCAGGCCAGGCAGCGGGTGGGCAGGCTGCTGACTATGAGCAGATGAACTCACAGTCCTTGAGGTTGAAGTCATTGGGCGCTTTGGCAGACCAGAGGCGCATGGTGTTGACAACGTTGTTTCGGTAGCCAGGCACAGGTGTGTCATAAGGCATGGCCAATACCACCTGTGAGGGACACCCCAAGTCAGGAGCTGGACAACCTGCCTCAAAGTACCTGCTTTGTTTGTTGAATGGGGCTTCCTTCACCTGCAGGACTGGAACTCAAGACATTGTTCCCAAATTCTGCCAACTCCCAACCTCTAGTCCCAGCAAACTGTGAGCAAACTATGTAACCTCTGAACCTCATCTATGAAAAGAGGACATCCTGACATCTCCCCAGACACCAACTTCTGCCTTGTTCAGATTATCATGAGGGTTATGAGGAGAAGCAGAGCTACAACCCCAGAACCCAAGGTGGGGCTCACTCTGTAGGGATGAGGCTAAGCCTCCAAACTGGCCTAGGCAAAAACAAGGGAATACATTATTATTATTATTATTATTATTATTATTATTATTATTATTATTATTACTATTTGTTTTTTTGAGACAGGATCTTGATATGTAGTTCAGGCTGGCCTTAAACTCACTATGTAGCCAGGCTGGCCTCATATTCACAGTGATCCTCCTGCCTAAGCCTCCTGAGTTGCTGGGATTACAGGTGTGCATCACCACACCCAGGAGGAGACATTTTAGATCCTGAGAGGCTGATGGACCCCAGGTCAGGCTGAAGAGGTCACAGAGGTCAAATCTAGCCAGAGGTCTTTTGTCTGGTTGACCACTTGGCTAATCAGCTAATGTTGGCCCCACCTCCCACAACTAGCAAGCAGCGATCTCCCTGGCCTATCAGTATTAGGAGCAGTATGGAAGCTGCAGCCAGAAAGAGCCAGGTCTCTGGCCTTTTAGCCAGAGCAGGATGTGCCTGGCTGCCACAGGCCTCAGCCTGATAAGAGTGGAAATAATGGCCAGTTCTGAAAGCCTAGAGACTCTGTGTAGCCCACCTGGAGCCTGAAGACCTGCAGCCACAGAAAGGATTGCCTGAACAGGGACCTGGATGCCTGCTTTGGCCTTAGGCTCCCTTTAACTTGCTGTGTGACCTTGAACAAGTCAATTGCAAGTCTGGAAGCCTTAATTCCCTCCAGTGTCCTTTATGGGCTATTATCTTGCTTTCATCAAGCTCTGAGGTCAGACATGCAGTAGAGAGTGAATTCACTGTGATAGTCCTTTGTTTTGTTTTTTTGTTTTGAGACAAGGTCTCACTATATAGTTCAGGGTGGCCTTGAATTCACTATGGAGCCCAGGTTAGCCTCAAACTTGCTCAACCTGCCTCAGCCTCCCAAGTGCTGGGATTATAGGTGTGTGCTACCACCACGCCAGGCTGTCCCAGTCCTTTGATGGATTGGAGAGGAGCCAGGACAGGGAAGGGACACTGGTGGAGTAGGGACAATCTCTCTCCTACTTTTAGGCTTTGACTTTGGTCTGGCTCCTGTGACCCTGACTCCAGCCTCTCCTGGTTCTGTGACCTTGAATAGTATAAGTCACTTAACATCTCTGAGCCTTGATGGCTTTGGTTGTTAAACAGCACTGAGTCTAGTGGCCTCAGGGCTCTCTCTGCAGGAGCTTTCTCCTCTGCCCAACCCTTCCTCATCCTCACCTGGGTGTCCACCCACTTGGCCCCCTGGCTAGTGTGCTCCACATGGCCATAGAAGTGCACAGGCAGCGTGAACTCGGGACGGGCCTTCTCCCAGGGGTTGCCATAGCGAAGCCAGTCATCAGCCTCCTCCATCTGCACCAGGAAAGGCAGCATCAGACCCAGGCATTCAGGCAGGTGGTGGGGGAGGACAGGTGCAGTAGCCTAGGGGGCCCTGGTCAGGTGGGCTCTCCAGTGGGACATGGTACATCTCAAGTGGTCCACAGGTCACCAGCTGGCTTTAGGGCAAGGGGGAGGGGCAAGGATGCTTTCCTCAGAAGCTGGGCCTGGTTCTGGACCCATCCCATGAAGAATGACCAAATGGGAACCTCCCTATAAGGTCAACCTGCTCACCTGCCAGCCCCCACTGATCTTCTGGTTAAAAATCCCAAACTCATAGCGGATCCCGTAGCCATAGGCAGCCAGGCCCAGTGTTGCCATGGAGTCCAGAAAGCAGGCTGGGGGTGTGCAGGGAGGTAGATCTCAGGGACCCAGGTGAAGAAACCCTCTGCCCCCTACCCCCACCCCACAAGTTGCCCACCTGCCAGCCGGCCCAGGCCTCCATTGCCCAGCCCTGCGTCCTCCTCGATTTCCTCCAGCTCCTCCATGTCCAGGCCCAGCTGGGGGAACAGGTGGCTGTAGTCAGTGCCAAGTGCCCTCAGAGGAACCCCCCAATCCTTAAGGCTCATGCTCCCACACCTGGTAGGTGGCCTCATCACAGGCATTCTCCAAAGCCAGATTCACCATGGTGTTCTGTAGCGTTCGTCCCATGTAGAACTCCAAAGACAGGTAGTAGATCCTCTGCCCAGAAACAGGCGGATTGACAGGGAAGAGGGGTCAGGGCCTCCCACTGGACATTCAGCCTGGCCCAGCTGGGCCTGAACCTCTTCTCCAACTCCTGCTCCACTCCCAGGCTCCAGCATGTCCCTTCTGTGTCCCCAATTTTTTTCTCCCCACTTAGAGGAACCATCTTAGACTTCAGAGCCCAACAGGTGAGGCTGGCCCCAACATTCTCATGACTTTGGACAAATGCCTTTTCTCTCTGGCCTCAATTTCCCTGTCTAGACAATGAGGCTGGCCAGAACTGCCTTGGGATGAGGTACTCAGGAGAGATGGGGTCCCCTTCCATCACAAACACACATCAACAGCCCAGCACATAGATCAGGATATAGATAAGCACTTCCAAGTGCTCCCTAAGAGGGCAAAGCCCAGGGGGAAAAAAAAGTCCTTTGTTCAAGGTCACACAATGACTCAGGGCTAGAGATTGCCATCTCCTGTCCATGCAGTGCCCAGGTCCTCTTCACCCTCAAGCCTTAAGGCCCAAGAAGGGGATGGAGAGACAGCTGACGCGAGGATGCTCATAGTGCCTGACCTCCCCATTTCCTGGGTCCCCTCCCGGCTCCTCCCCCACTGCTGTTGTAGGGTGTTAGGTTGCTGACATTTACTACTGACCCCACCAGACACTTGATCCCTGTCACCCCAGCCTCTCCCCACCCATGGCACAGACATACCATACACACATTTGATGACATATCCTTCTACCCCAGGTCCAAACCAGGCCACAAGTGTCTTCCTGGCCACCAACAACCCTCCAACTTTTTCTGAGTGGGAGCCGAGCCTTTGCAAGCAGCCCACAAGCCCTCAGCAGCCCTCTTCCAGTCAGGTCTCTCCCCCTTGGTTGCCCCAGCAACCCTTGCTCCTGGCACCCCTGGATCCATGACTCCAAGACCCTGGAGCAACCACCTATTTTGCTGCAGAAACCCTGGGCTCCAGGAAGGAGCAGCCACTTGGACGAGATCTTCCAGCTCCCTGGTAGGAACCCCCACCCAGCCCATTCCCCACCCCGCAACACCTTGGGGTCCTTCTCATAGTAGTGCTGTTGCGTGCGGATCCAGCGCCCCACGAGGTGGTCCCGAACAGTGTGGGCCAGCGCAAAGTAGTAGTCTCGAGGGGTGGCCACGTTGCGGTCCTTGACCAGTGTGAAGTGGAGGTGCCGATTGAAGTTCTTTTTCAGATCAGTCACATTCTCCACGCCGGCCAGGCCACGTACACTGATTTGCTTTCTCTTCTCCTGGTCTGACAGGGGCCGGGACATGGCTGCAGGAGGGTGGGCCGGACAGACAGATGAGTGGACAGAGGGACAGCCTCAGTGGTGCCTCCAACCAGGGAGTGGAGCTCCAGAGCTGTGAGGGGATTTAAAGCCAGGCTCTGGGCAGCAGGCCCCACGCCCCTCCCCCATGGGAGGGTCTTGGCTAGGACTCAGGGAGCTATTTTGGGGGTGAAAGAGGAGGGGGAGGGAGGAACTATCTCTCCATAAGCCAGGCCTGGCCCTGCCTGTTCACAGCCTGTGGTGGGCCACTTCCCCCAGGCTTCCCAAACATGGGCCTGTTTTGTGTCCCCTATCCCTGCCTTTTGCAGGGTTGGAGACAAGATGCTGCAGGCAGAGTGGGAGACTGGGAGGGCTAAGGCTGACTGGCTGTATAACTTTGGCAGATGTGTCCCCCAATCTGAGCCCTTCTCTTGGTATATACATAAAGAGTGGGACTGACCAGGCATGGTGGTGCACAACTATAGTCCCAGCACTGGGGAGGCTGAGGCAGGAGGATCACTGTGAGTTCAAGGCCAGCCTGGACTATATAATGAGTTTAGGGCCAGCCTGAGCTACACAGCAAGACCCTGTCTCAAAAGAAACAAAAACAAGGCCAGAAAAAAAAAAAAAGGTCAGGACATAGCTCAGCGGCGCAGCACCTGCCTGGCAAGTGTGAGACCCTGAATTCAATTCCTGGTACCAAAAATAATGTTAAAAAAACTGGGCACAAGCACAAGGACCCAAGTTCAATCCCCCCTACCAAAAAAAAACCAACAAAAAAAACCTGGGACTGGATTGTAGGCCCTCAGTGGGGGTCCTGGGAGGTTGAAGAAGGGGGTGCCATGGACAGGATTTAAGAGGTCTAGTCCCGGGCCTCTAGACACACTCTCCTTTCGTTGTAGCACCAGGGCTTGCCTTCGACATCTGCCTGAGTGTGCAGACAGGACACGAGTCAAGTTCATCATGGTGGCTCTCCCTAGGCTGGGGCACTGTTGGTAGCTGTATCTAGGTGGGGAGGCTGCATGTTGTGCCTGAGGGTCAGTGGGCCTTGTACAGAAGAGGTAAGGCTATCCCAGAGGACACTGAGCAGCTGTGAGAAAAGGAGCCAGGATCCTAGGTTCCACAGGATGGTATGAGGGAGGTCGCCTGAGGCAGGGCCACTGGCCTCACCCCATCCCCACCAAAGCCCAGCAGCTCTGAGCTCCCCCTGTTGCTGTCCCTCAAAGACCTCTAAAGTGACCTTTTTCAAGAGGATGGTCAGATTACAGGGCCGTACTAGGTGGGGCCTCCCACCTAGAGTAGAGGCCCCTGGGAACTGTAGTCCTGCAGACCCACAGGGTTGGAGAAACTCAAGCATTCCCCACACTCGTGACATGGGCAGATGGTATTGCCGTCTCCTGATTCACCTGCTGGGTAGATGATTGAGGCCTTCTCTTACCCCCTCCTCCCACTTGGGGTACATGCAGAGTAGGTTATTTTTTGTTTTTTCTGAAACAGGGTAGGGTCTTGCTATGTAGTCAAGGCTGGGTTTGGACCCTCCATGAAGTCCAAGCTGGCCAACTCAAGATCTTCCCACCTCAGCCTCCCAAATGCTGGGGTTACGGCATGGGCCACCACACCTGGGTTGGGCAGAGGATTAGTGGGCCAGGGTTTGCAGCTGGGATCTCACTTATAAAATAAGCTATATTCTGCTCCTTTCTACCATGTGTATGTATGGCCTGGCTGCTTCAGGCTGTCCCTTCCAAGGATTTGACTGCCCTGTTCATATCCTGGTCCCAGTACTGACTTGTGTGACCTCAGGGTAGTTGTTTCACCTGAGCCTTGGTCTCCCATTAAGTTTACTATTTTTTTGAGGATCTTGGTCTGTATTTTAGGCTGGCCTTGAACTATGTAACCCAGCCTGGCCTCAAACTCACAGCTCCTGCCTCAGCCTCCCAAGTGCATTACAAGCGTGTGCCATCACATCCAGCTAGTCTCCCATTATATTTATACTCTGAAATGAGACAATAAATCTTGCCTCATCCAGCTGCTGCCTCCTAATATTATGGGGCAGACATTGGATTCTGTGTTTTTGAGCAAATGGACCCTAGGACCTTGTGTTGTTTCAAAGGCTGGCTGGGTCTCCCAGGGTGGCAGGCCTGTTGAGAACTGGCTGTTCTGCCACAGGGGCCAAGGAAGCAGATCAGAGGCCTGGACAGCTGCAGGATGCTATTGAGAGCCTGGTTCCTGGATGGCCAGGCCCTTTCTGAGAACTTTCTGAGTTGTAGCAGACCCACCTCCTGGCTCTGGAATCAACAGCTATGTGTGAGTCAATCTCCAAGCTCTGCTCTACCCTTACCCCCAGATACATTGCCCGCTAGTGCTCCTTGGGGCTAGGTTTCCACAGACCAGGAAGAAACACTGAAGAATGCCTACACAGATGTAGTGGGAATGAGTAACTTTTCTGTGCCTTTTTAATTTTTGCCCTTGCTAGGGATGAAACCCAAGACCTGCCACATTATACTGCTGAGCTGCACCCTGAGCCCCTTTTTTCCATTTTTAGTCTTTACACATTTAATTTCCACAAAGAATGCCTGGCAGTCATCTCTTCCACTCCCAAACTCCATCCCCAGCCTCTGCTCCTAGGCCTCACACCTTCCACCAAGCACCTATCCTCTGGTGTGGATCCGCCTGAGGTGGCCCTGGCCTGCACTGTCTCCTGGAAGGGTTGCTATGGACAGAGCTCAGAGTTCTTGGGAACCCCCAGACTGTCTCTGCACACCCAAACTTGTGTACTGCCCCCTACGGCCTGCCAGACCTTACTGTCCTGTTGCCATCTTGAGACACCAAGTTGATCCCACCCTTTTCTAAGCCACCAGCCCCTCTCCGGCTATCACCTCAGCATCTACCTCCTGCATTACAGGCTCTTGCCCAGCTGTCCTGGCCTCATTAGAGGAACTATTCATGGTTTTGACATTTCTCTGGGTTTTCACTCTATGCAGTTCAGGCTGGCCTTGAACTTGAAATCCTCTCCAAGCAGCTTCCTTGTGGGTTTTCAGCGTCGTGCCAACAGCCCCTACTTGACTGTCTCCAGGCTCTTAGCAGCACACCATCCCTCCTCCATCCTGCATGCTCCAGTTCAGCTTGTCAAAGCACAAGCCTGCCCACTGCCTCCCAATTTCCTCCACTGCCCCACCCCCATTTAGGTTTATTTTAATAAATCCTGAAAGCACATTTTTCTACCTGCACAAGGTTATGTCACACTAAGATTCTAACCAGAAACCCAGCCTCCCCGTCTAGACCAATCTTGGGTTTCTACAGAGCATTTGGCTAGGTCTCAGTAACAGAGCCCTGGAGCTGACCTTTCCAAACTGGCAAGGTCCAAGTGGAGGGGTGGGGACACTGCTACAGCAGCACGAATTGGATGGGGAAGGTTTGGCCCTAATGGTAGGATGAGGGCTTTTCCCCCACAGCTCCTATCACAATGAAATGGCCTTTTTCACACCCAAGGCCAAGTGGTGCTTCCTGCTGCCCTATCGCCACCCCCACCCCCCCATGACAGGTACTGTATCTCCAAGGGCCAATGGCTTCCATTTCAGGGCCTCAGGCAGCTCGGAGAATGAAGCCTTCTCAGCCACTTTATTACTCTACAAAACCTAACAAAAGCTGCCTTAGGGAACAGAGAGGGAGCACAGGAATGGAGCTGGCCCCAGGGGAGAGAAAGAGGAGATAGCTACGCTGTGGTTAAGTCATTTATTGATTTTATTTCTAAAACCCACATAGCGCCACTTTGCTGTTTCCAGAGCTTCAAAGAGCTAATTAACCGCCCAATGAGCCCACCAGGGAAACCAAGCTTGTGGGGGAAGCAATGAGGTGAAGCAATGAGGTGAAGCCAAGGTCAAAGAGGGTAGCCAAGCCCCAGGCACTGCCCCCACCCCCACCAGTTAACACAAAAGGAAGTCTCCCTCCATCCCCTTTCAGCTTAGAGACTGGTTAGGAACCCCACCAAACCTTCCTTGCCTCTGAGGGTTCCTCAAGCTCTACAGCCCACAAGCTTCCTGGACAGGGCCCAGGCACCCAGGCTGGTCTCCAACTAAACAGTAGCCAACCCCTTGCTCAAAGCTGGAAAGCAGCCCAAGGCGGAGTTGCTATCCCTAGTGGCCAGATGCCAGGGGCCGCAGGAGCCTATAGTCCCTCAGCTTCCCTGAAGAAAGCAAAGGCTGGCAGGAAGGTACAGATCTTTCTAGGGTCAGCATAGCCAAGGAACACCAGCTGGAGCTGCCCAAAGACCTCATTACCTCGTAGACATAACATGGATTTCTGTTGTCACCACAGGTACTATCCATTGCCCAAGACAAAGAAAAACCGGACAGCCTAAGATCCTTTTTAAAGAAGTGCTTACAAAGCACAAGGTGGGCACTGTATCTCACCCCCACATCCCCAAAGCCTGCAGTGTTGGCAGGTTGCAGGTCACCAGCAGAGAAAGAAAAAAGCCACTTGGCGGTTTTAATTTTAGCTGCTCTGTGGCTGACAGGCAGGATTAGTTGGCTTGACCTTTAGTGTTGATGCCTCCTCAGGCCCAGGACCATAGTCAGGTGGCAGCTAGCAGGCACAATCACAACTGGAGCTCATCAAATGTGGGGGTCCAATCCCTGGGCAAAGGCTTTCAAAAGGTCAGAGACCAAGGAAATGAAGGGTGACCAAGGAGGGGGGAGAGCCTGGTCGTCAGCTATGTAAACTAGAAACAAGAGGATGACAGTGGGACCACGCTCAGTGGCTCAGCTCCCAACTCAGCCCACACAGTGAGACAGCTGGGTTCCTTGACTAATGTCCCATGGCTTTGCTCCATGGAGACCAGGGCCCAGGTACCCAACACAAGGTACAGCAACGTTGGTGCTAAGGGAGGTTTAGAAGTAAAAAAAAGAAACAGACCCAGAAAAACCACACTGCTCTTTTATTTAATGGAACATCCCCCCCTTTAGTGCAGTGTTGAATCAAACACGGAAAAAAAAGCCCAGAGAAATTTCTGTAGATAAACCAGTGAAGAGAACGTGTGTTACACATCATTAACATAATCACTCCATGAGGGGTGGGGAGCAGTAAGAGGAACAAGGGGCTCAAACCCCTTGACACTGCAAAACATTCAGACATTTGGGATTAAAATAAAATGTAAAAGGAAGCCTTCCAGGAAGGAGAGAGGAACAAATGGAATCTATGGCAGCTTAGGTGGTCAAAGCACAAAAATGACTCTAGGCTGGCAGGGCCAAGGTGGCTTGGGCTGTACCACCTGCTGGCAGGATGCAGGTGCTGGGCCTGGACATTAACCAGCCCTGGGCAACTTCAACAAGAGTGACAGAGACAAACACCACACTTTAAAAAGACAAACATCTTTGGGGCAGCTATGGTCCCTGGAAAAAACTTAGAACCAAAGGACACCACCTGCCCACGAGGCCTGACATTAAGGCTGTCTGTGCCTAAAACCATTTGCTCCCCTCTCCTTGGCAGGGAAAGGAGAATGGAGTTAAGGGAAAGTATTCTAATTGCAGCAGAAGACCGGGGAAAGCATCTCCTTGGATGGAGTCTGAAGAAAGGAAGAGATAAGAAAGTAACAAAGGAAAAAGAAAAAAATTAATTAAAAATTTCACGATATGGAGCCAGCGTGTTCCGATTCCGTCCACAAAAATAACTCAGGCTGCTTTGCCGAACCATCCTGTCCACCAGGGGCGCTGCTGAGGCTGTCTGCCTGGAAGGGTCACCAATGGGCGCGGAAAGTCCTCACTCTCATGGCTCTGGCCATCGCCGCCGCGGGGAGGGATCCTGGCGGCCCAGTTTGGGGAGAGGCAAAGGGAGTTGGGTGAGGAGAGAAAGAAGACAAAGACACTCGATGCTACGGGGCGCCAGGAGAGCCCAAACTGGCGCCCCTAGTACCACCTGCCCATTCCCAAGCAAGTCCTCAGTCGCTTGGCCCAGCCCGGTGCGTGAACACACACACATGCGTGCACACACAATCACATGCGTGCGTCCCAAAGTCTGGCTCCATATGGTGAGGTTCGGCGTGTTTAAACGAGACCAATTCTCTCTCTATATAATATATATTTTCTTAAAAAACAAGTCTAGTTCTGTGGTGGAGGCGGTGGGGGAGCTGGAGGCATCCCGAAGGGCGGCATGCCCGCCACCCCCATGCCCATCATGGTGACAAAGTTAGAAGGGTCCATGGGAGGCGGAGGAGGAGGGGGCGGGGCATACATCATGCCGGCGGAACCAGGAGGCGGAGGCGGCGGAGGGGGAGGGGCCCCGGGCGGCAGAGGCGGCTGGACCCCGGGGGGCAGGGGCACCATAGTGGGGTTGCCTTGCATCTGAGGGGCTCCTGGAGAAGCTGCGGCAGCCGCCTGCTGCTGTTGCCATGGCGGGATGGACCCTGTGCCAGCGCTCGTGGTGGTAGTCGTCGTATCTGGGGTGGTAAAGAAGCCCAAGGTCACACGCGCGGGGGCACACCGCGGTTCTCTGCGGCTGCTGCCTTGGGATGGGGGGGTCGAGGGGCGCCTGCTCCTGGCTTGGCATGCTGTACGGTGGCGGGGGCGGGCAGGCAGGGCTGTCCTGGTGATGGGGAGTGGAGGGGTGGGCAAGACTACCCTGGGGTCAGCCTCAAGGTCTCTGGGCTTAACAGAGTAAGCCCTTTGTCACCAATGCCCCTGTAGGGGCTGAGGGGAAAAGTACCAGACACAAGAACCGGCTCTGACGTCCCTCCGCCCAGCCGCCGCCACCACCGAACGGCACATTCAACCTCAAGGCCACAGTGGCTCTCTCCCCACTGCCTGGCCCCATCTCTGCAGTCTCTCAGGCCCAATCACAGCCCCTCCAGAACATGCATGCACCATCCCACTCTGGCCCTGGCACAAGGCTCAACCAGCCAGAATGAGGCCCACAGCTCATTCTGCTGCCCAGCGGCTGGACTTCCAGCAACCCCCCTACTGTCCCCTGCAGGCCCCCAGACCTCTCCCCAGACACAACCACACCAAACATCAGCTTTCCTCCCCATAAAGCCCCCATGGGCCAGGATGCCCTTCTGTTTCCACTCTCCCTCCAGACCAGTTTCATCTCCTGCCCATATGAGCTGTGAGTTTTTCTATTGCTCCTCTCAGCTCAAATCCCGTCCCACCCACCTCCACAAGCCCAAAATACTCCACTCACTTTGCTGCCATGGCAAGGGGGTACTGGAAGCCATACTGCTGCTGGGCGGAGGGGGTGGTGGAGGCTGCTGCTGTTGCTGCTGCCATGGAGGAAGAGGGCCAGAGGGAGGAGGTGGGGGCTGCCCACTGGGAGGCGGCGGCGGCGGCGGCATCATGCCCATAGGTGGCGGCGGCATCATACCTGCAATTAGGTAGAATAAGGTAAGGCCTCCAGGCAGAAGGGAACCAGGCCCAAAGTCCCACTCATCCCAGGTCTAGGTGTGGACACAAAGCCAGCAGTTACCTTTTCCTTGATGCAGGCGATAGACCCCAGAGCCCACAGGCGTACTTCCCAGGTACTGATCTTGATGGAAGGAAAGAGCAGGGACTTAGCAGGACATTTGAACTGTCCGGGGCACACCCTTCCAAATAGCTTTCTCAGCCCCACAGGAGTCCCCAGCATCACAAGGAGTCCCAAGCATCCTGCCCTCACAGATGGTTCCTGCTCACTGGACAGCCCTAGTCCTCTGGAGCTTGGGCTTTGGGGAGGCCAGCAGGCCTTGTGCACTTGCTAGCCACATCTAGCAGCAACCTGACCTATCCCCTCTTATCCCAAAGCCCCAAGGTTTTTGGTCTGACACTTACTTACCCATTGGAGGAGGGCCATGGTGCCCAGGTGGGTGGGGGCCCTGGTTCATCGGTGGTGGTGGAGGCTGCATCCAAGGCGGTGGGGGTCCATTTGGGTTGTGCTGCATGGGATGTCCACCATGTCCACCTGTCAGGCTGGGTAATGGGTGTGGGAAGCTGTGGGGGCCACCTCCAGGTCCACCAGGACCACCTCCATGCATGCCGTGGTAAGGCCGACTCTCCGAAGGGCCAGAGTTCATCCAGGGTGGGCGGCTCTGGGTGGTGGACATGAGAGACTACGTGAGAGTATTTCCCGCCAATGCCCCTGCCTGCTCCCCGTGGTGGCAACACTGTTCTTCTGGCTCTGCCATGGGAGCAAAATACAAGGACTCCTGAGAAGTCCCCCACACTAGTCAGATATTCCAAAAGAACAATGTTGCCAGCCACATTCATCACTCTGCTCAACCCAAAGCACTTGGTCATAGCTTCCAGTCTCTGCAGAAGAGAGAACATGGGGAGCTAGACCAAGAGAACTAGTCCTGAGGCTCACCGGTGGAGGTGGATTATTGGCAGGAGCAGCAGGCCTCGGTGCACTGGCCAGGGGTGTGGTGGCAGGGCCAGAGGTGGACCCCACAGATGCTGGGACAGGTGCTTCACCCAGTTCAGCCATAAGGGACAAATACTCTTTATCCATCCGTGCTTTATCCTGAGCTGACTGGGGGTCGCCAGGCCTGAAAAGAGATTTGAGATAAAGAGAAGGGGAAAAATGCTCAAGGAGGAAGCTTTAACCTTGAAGAATTTACAGTTTTAAAGAGTTCAGCCATTAGGTCATTATTTCTTCCCAATCCTTTACTAGACATGTCTTTTTTCTGTACAGGGGATCGTACTCAGGACCTTGTGCTTGCATGGCAGGCAAGGTGCCACTGAGCTAAATCCCCAGCCCTTAAGACAAGGTTTTAAACAGTCTCATCAGGTCTTCAACTTTTTTTCTTTTCTCAAATTTATTTTTTGAGACAGGATCTCAACATATTCAGGCTGGCCTTGAACTCACTATGTAACCCAGGCTGGCCTCAAGCTTGCAGCAATCCTCCTGCCTCTGCCTCCCGAGTGCTGGGATTACAGACATGCTCCAACACACTCGGCAAGTCTTCAATTTTAGAGAACACTTCTGCCTTTGGGATCACCAGTGCCTGCCACAGCACAGGTGCTAGGTTAAAAATCCTGGTGAGAACACCAGGTCCTCATCAGCCTCGAAGAGCACAGGTTCTCTCACCTCTCAAGCTTCATGAAATTGTATCTTCCCAGTTTGAGGGAAGGGAAATCTACGCAAGACTGGAGCAACTGCCAGAACAACTTTTGACCCCAAAATAGGAAAATGATGGTATTCAGGGCTGATCTGCAACTGGTCAAATTCCAGTCTACTTAGTCTTCTTGAACAAATC